AAAGAGACCGACAGGAGGGGTGGGTTCGGATGGGGCGATGCCCTCGTCCTCAGACAAAATTAGGCCAGCTTGTTCAGCTCCTGTAGATTCCAAATCCGATGCGGGATCATCCATCCAATCCGGAGATTGTGAATGATGTGTGGCCTGTGGGGGTGGCTGTGGGGTGTTGGAGGCCATAAATTGAGCCACAGCCTGGGCTATTATGGACTGGAGGAGGTTCGGGTTCAGGGCCTGGTTCTCAGGAGGGCGAAGTCCTGCTGCAGTGAGAGTGAATGTGGCCTGGGACCCTGAGGTGTCCTGACTGGTTATACCCCTCTCTGAAGCCACTGTTAGGTTTGAATCTGACTCAGGAATTACCCTGGGGGGAGACCAGGCCCCTGGGGCTGAGGCACTGTGCGAAGAAAGGGGCTCAAATATAGACCTTCCCATCGTGCCTGTCAGATCTGGGGAGGCCGCTCTCAGTCTTTGGCACCCTTCCTCCCTCTGTGGCTCCCTGCTTGGCCGGGCTCGCTTGGTGATGCTCTTACCACTTGCCTCTGATTGGCGACTCCTCTTGGCTGGCTCGCTGCCTTTCTCTGCCATGATGAGTTGCTCTGGTCTCAACCTTGGCAAAACGCCCCCCCTCGGCGCTTTGGAGTCTACAGAGATACTTCAGCCCAAGAGGGGGATGGGCGGGGAGTTAATGGGCACCCCGATCACTTGGGATCGATCAGGCCCTCCCCGGTCGAACCTGCTCTCTAGACGATCCTGCCACCGATGATGTAATACTGCCTTCAGAAGAAAGTTCCAGGCAGTCTGGGCCTCAGCCACACACAAAATGGCCACCAAGGGCTTTTTCCATGCACAAAAGGGCCTCCGAGGGCTTCAGCCCCACACAAAATGGCTGCCGGTGACTTCAGCCACCCACAAATGGCCGCCAGTGACTTCAGGCACACTCAAAATGGCCGCCGAGGCTTCAGCCCCACACAAAATGGCCGCCGGTGACTTCAGCCACCCACAAATGGCCGCCAGTGACTTCCGCCACTCACAAAATGGCCGCCGAGGGCCTCAACCACATACAAAATGGCCACCGAGGGCTTCAGCCACACCCAAAATGGCCGCCGGGAGGCAATTCAAAATGGCGGCCGCCAATTTCGCGCCCTAAAAAAAACGGCCGTTGGAAGAAGGCCTTGAGGCCTAGGGTCTAAGCTGCAACGAGCCCTCGTTGGGGTGAATCGCCTGGGCTCCTAAAGCAGCTGGTGGCATGTGATTAGGCCGGCTGGAAAAGCTGTCGTCCAAGGCCTGACAGGCCCTCCCGGCTCCGAAAATTGGGCCGCGCCCAAATTCTCACCTGCTGCTCTCTGCTGGGGCTGAGGGACCTGGGAAGGCTCCCTCCAGGCTTGATGAGGCTCTGAAAACGACCTAAATCAAAGGTTTGATCTTGCTGTCCCTAACTGAGGAAAACAAAGAAGGGAAAAGGTCCCCCCCCCCCCAGAGGGAGAGGATTGTGAGTCTGTCAGCCTGAATAGGCTTCAGACTGGGATAATTGATCTTTCTTCTAGATATAATCGATTCTGAATCAATAATAAAATAACAAATAATAATAATAGCCTGAGCTAAGTAATTAAATAGAATTAAACAGTCTTCTGCTCCAGGAGCGAAGACAAAACGCATCTTGGGGCAAAGAGACTAAGTCTAAAACTGGGGTGCAGTTGGCACAGAGGGGGCGGTACTAAATTTCAGACTTAGTCTAATTGGAGCAGATAGATTAAGACAACCCATCTGTGGGTTCTCCATCCAATCATGCTGGAGAAACAACATCTCTCAAAAGAAACCAGCATGGCTGCATAAAGAACTCTCTGACAAATTGAAAGATAAAAAGGACAAGTATAGAAAGTGGAAAGAGGGGAACATAACTAAGTCAGAATATCAGCAAATAGCCCAAGCCTGCAAAGATGAAGAAAGCCAAGGCTCAAATGAACTAAGGCTTGCGACCAAAGTCAAAAATAACAAAAAAAGCTTCTTTCAACATGTAAAAAACAAGAAAAAAGTGAAGGAAATGATTGGTCCATTAGTGGGTGGAAGTGGCAAGAAGGTGACAAGCAACAGGGAGAAAGCAGAACTATTTAACTCATTTTTTGCATCTGTCTTTACACAAAGGGAAAAGACAGACCAACCTATCAAAAATAGTGCCATAAAAAACAAAACAGAAACACAAGTTAAGATAGGCAAGAAAATGGTTAGTGAGCACCTGTCCAGCCTAGATGAGTTCACATCGCCAGGACCAGATGGATTACACCCCAGAGTTCTCAAGGAACTGGCAGATGTGGTATCGGAGCCACTGAACTATATTTTTCAAAGATCCTGGAACACAGGGAAACTACCAGAGGACTGGAAAAGAGCTGATGTAGTTCCCATCCTCAAAAAAGGAAAAAAAATGGATCCAGGAAATTACAGACCTATCAGCCTGACCTCAATACCTGGGAGATCCTGGAAAAGATAATCAAACAACGAATCAATGAACACCTAGAGGCAAACAAAGTCATTACTAAAAGCCAACATGGGTTTGTCAAAAATAGATCATGCCAGACAAATCTTATTGCATTCTTTGACCAAGTGACAAAATTAGTGGATCAGAGGAATGCTGTGGACATAATTTACTTGGACTTCAGTAAGGCATTTAATAAAGTAGATCACAACCTACTACTTGACAAGATAGAAAAATGTGGGGTAGACAGAACCACCACCAGATGGATCCGTAGCTGGCTGACCGGCCATACTCAGCGAGTGGTCCTCAATGGAACTGCATCTATATGGAGGGAAGTGTGTAGTGGGGTGCCCCAGGGCTCTGTTCTGGGCCCAGTACTCTTCAACATCTTCATCAACGATTTGGATGAAGGGATAGATGGGGAACTCATCAAATTTGCAGATGACACCAAGCTGGCAGGAATAGCCAACACTCCAGAAGACAGGCTTCAGATACAGAAGGATCTGGACAGACTTGAACACTGGGCACTAACTAACAAAATGAAATTCAATGGTGAAAAAAGCAAGGTTCTACATTTAGGCAAGAAAAACCAAATGCACAAGTACAGCATAGGTGGCACCATGCTCAATAGTAGTAACTGTGAGAGGGACCTCGGAGTCCTAGTAGACAATCACTTAAATATGAGCCAGCAGTGTGCTGCAGCTGCCAAAAAGGCCAACACAGTGCTAGGCTGCATTAACAGAGGGATAGAATCAAGATCACGTGAAGTATTAATACCACTCTTCAATGCCTTGGTAAGGCCACACTTGGAATACTGCATCCAGTTTTGGTCACCACGATGTAAAAAAGATGTTGAGACTCTAGAAAGAGTACAGAGAAGAGCAACAAAGATGATTAGGGGACTGGAGGCTAAAACATATAAGGAACGGTTGCTAGAATTGGGTATGTCTAGTTTAACGAAGAGAAGGACAAGGGGGGACATGATAGCAGTATTCCAATATCTCAGGGACTGCCATAAAGAAGAGGGAATTAAGCTATTTTCCAAAGCACCTGAAGGCAGGACAAGAAGCAATGGGTGGAAACTAATCAAGGAGAGAAGCAGCCTAGAACTAAGGAGAAACTTCCTGACAGTGAGAACAATTAATCAGTGGAACAGCTTGCCTCCAGAAGCAATAAATGCTCCAACACTGGAAGTTTTAAAGAAGAGACTGGACAGCCACTTTTCCGAAATGGTGTAGGGTTTCCTGCCCGAGCAGGGGATTGGACTAGATGACCTCCAAGGTCCCTTCCAACTTTACTACTATTATTATTATCATTTGAAGGTCCAACCCAACTTCAGAAAACAAAGAGGAAATGTAGTTACAGTAATAGTTTTTGCCACAAGATGCCCTCAGTAAGCTGTGAAATCTCTTTTCCGGCTTCCAATAAACTTTTTTTTCCAAACAATAAAGATTTATCCCTTTAAAAAAATAAGTCCAGCTTAGAAAATAGATATAATAATAAAGTTCTATGATAGGGATTTTTCCAGAGCCCCAAAATGACCAAAAAAAATGTAGCCAATACTTAACTATTTTCTTTTCTTTTGTTAAAGCTCTTTTCCCAGATAGACAAAGGCAGCTCTTTCAAAACAAGGAAGTAATTCCAGAGAGCTTTTAACAGGAGACTAGTTAAGCAAAGAGAGAGGGAAAGGTCTCACCCGCATCATCCATGGTGGTTTCTTAACTCTTAGATGTTCTTTTGACTTTTGGCTGGTGCAGCTAAATGATCGGTCATGTTACTGGCCGATCTTTTTTCCATCGGCCCTGCCTCAGACCATGGAAGGAGCTGCCTCTTCCCCCCGCGATCGACGAGAGTTCTCCTCATTGGTAGTCGCCCCTCCAGGGCAACTTTTCAACCCGATTAAGGGTCTACCAGCAGAAGGAAAGCAGCCAGCGAAGAGAGGAGTATCTTTGTACGACTGCACACACTGCAACCCGGAACCGGAAGCCTCGTCTCTAATCTTTTTGATTTGGCAACTGGAAAGGGAGGTAGGCACTGCTATTTCTATGTATGCAAATGGACTGCGCGTATGCGCACACAAAGAGTCCTGTGCACGTGTGCACTAATAGGCTGCATGTGAGTATATACACACATGCACACATGTAAACCGCCACATGCGAGCACTCCACCTTCCTCCTCTTCCTTGAGCTCTTCCAACTCCAGTTGCTGCTCCTGTCATCAGGCATGGGTGAGGTTCACTCCCTTGGCCCTTCCTTCTTAGTCAACCTTCTTTCTGATGCCTATGGACCACTTGGGTCTCAATGAGTCACCCAGGCTCCCAACCTCCACTCGGAGAAATCAGTCCCAGCAGGAGCCCTGAATTCCCCCCAGCACACAGCTTCCTCCTAGTTGCTGCCTTGAGCTGACATCTTGTGTCCGGTATCCACAGTAGGGCTCTATGCCTCTCCAGGTTGATCGATTCTGCAGATTCCACCTAATATAAGAACCTGCCCCAGCTAGTCCCTCAAGAAATAAGACTCTTGAATCCATTGAGTTGAATCAAAAGAACTTTTATTGACAGAAAGTGGTTGTAGTAGAATCACACAGACTCTGAAAGTCCCACACAAAGCAATTCTTTAATTTTCCCCAATCCCAGCCACCCTGACCAGTCCACTGGCAACCAAGGAAAAGGTTTGATAACACTGAGGTGCAAGGCAAATAACAGACCACTCTCAGGGCATGACGGCCTTTGGACCTGCCGGGAACCAGCTGGGAGGGAGTGTGCCGCGTCTCCGCCTCTCTATTTCCCAAGCATGCAGCAAAAGCGAAAGCATCCCCAAAATGCCGACTTCCCTACCCCTCCAACAGAATGGCAGGACACATTGTTGGACCTGATCATTTTTGTTGGAAAACATTTATGAAATCATTCTGGTATACCTTGACCCATTTGTGGTGATAAATTATAGGATGTTTTCAACATTTTGAAAAAGATGGCATGACCAAAAGCCATGCTTTTTAAGGTTGCTCCATTAAGCAGGGAACAACACTGAGCAGAAAGCAGTATGGACACAATACACATAAGCATATACAGTACATACAGAAAATGCATAGGTGTACTGTAACAGCTTAAACTACATATACGTATTATGGCTGTGTTGAACATTTCTGCTCTGCTTCCTCCTGGAGAGGTTCCTGCAGCTTCCCATTCTGAGTAGATTGTATTTCCTTTAGATCCCAGATGAATTTGAGCGGTATATCCTTCATTTGTGCCTGAAGAATTTTGTCAAACCATTCATTTTGTGATACTGTCATAATATTCTTCCAGTCTCCAACAATTCCTGAGGAAAAAGGAGCAGATTGAAGAATCAATTATTGACCCTAGTCTATAGTGTGTTCTCCTGAAAAGAACCCCAGCATTGATGCTGAATCCTCACAGACCTGCCCACCATGATTGTCCACGACTGCCAGTGCTGATCATCATTTTGGCCCTATGTAGCTGGTACAATTCTGGAACCACTCTTCTGTCTTCCCACAATATCCAACTGCTACCTTTATTCTCTCATAGCACATTTATTCATCAGGCAGTAAGTAAAAGAGCAGGCTTTAGTCTCAGCAATAGTCACAACTGAGGTTTTCATAGTAATACATTAGTTTTGACATTTTTTCAGCAGAAAGAGGATATATAATATAAATATGGCTAAAATTAAATGGTTCTTTGTTTAACAAAAACAATCAGTTCTTGCACAAGGGGTCACAGAATGGACTCTTACTGCATTATTGGATCTGGAAGCAATATTTCTACTTATATCAAAGCCATGGGACTGCATAACTTAGCATGGCCCAAACAGTTCTATGAATCCCCACATCAGTCCCCAGTAATGGTACGTGAAATAGGATCTGAAAAGATTGTTTCAGCTTACTGGACTACAAACTAATTGGGGGTTTATTTTACCCTGTGCTGAATTCAAAGTCCCTCTTTTAGGAACTGTTAGGATTTAAAAGCTGTGAAATTGTATGTTTGTCATGTTTGTGTGATTCTTCAGTGTAACAGTTGTATTCAGTTAATGAGGACGACCTATAATAAATCCTCTAGATTAGCAAGAAATATTAAAGGAAGGGTTAATACTGGCATTCAAATATTTGAGCTGGTTTTCTTTCGCCCACAGTGACTTGTCTCATGAGGGAGAATTTTGAGGCAACCTGTCAGCTGTTGGGCTCTCAATATCTAAAAGGCCCAATGGAGTTGCTCTCTGTAGCAATACGAAAGGCAGCTGGGTGACTTTGGGCCAGTCACTCTATCTCAGCCCAACCCACCTCACAGGGTTGTTGTTGTATGGAGAAGAGGAGGAAGAAGTATTACGTATGTTTGCTGCCTTGAGTTACTTGTAAAGTAATAAAGGTGGGATCAAAACCTAATAAATAAAAAACTGCCCTTCTGAAGGAGCAGGGAATCCCCTCAAAGGGGTTGTGGGGCACGGCAGAGAACAGCCAGCTATTGTTCAGGTTGTAGGAACACCATCTCTCTCTCTCCCTCTCTCTCCCTCTCTCTCCCTCTCTCTCCCTCTCTCTCTCTCTCTCTCTCTCTCTCTCCCATTTCTCTCCCTCTCTCTTTCTTTCTCTCTCCATCTCCCATTTCTCTTCCTCTCTCTTTCTCTCCTCCAATACAATCTCTCAGCCTGGATCAGAACTGGACTCTTCTCTACCCAAGCCAGAATGGTCCTGCAAGGCCTAGAAAATTGACACCATGTCCTCTCCAGTGACCAATGGGAGCTGAGCTAATCCCACCCCCAGGGATAATGTGAGTGCAGAATTTGCCTCTCCTCACAGTAAACTAACATAGATTTTGCCCGCTGAAGAAATGTTCATTGAATACTGGACTAGCTAAGGATGATATAGAGCTACCTCAGGTATATGCTGGGGACAAGAAGATGTCAATGTCTTGAGGACACAAGAAAAAAAGAAGTAGGTTCTGAAGCAATTTTGTCCCATGGTGAGCGGCAAAAGAGGAAAAGACCAAAGTTTTGATTTTGTTTTGTCAGTATTACCTTTGCGTATATGTTTCACGTTTGTTAGTCCAAAACATTCTTCATGTGTTTTCACATAATTTGCCCTAGGATCAGCTTTCATGTTCTTTAATGTAGACATCTCCACAACTTTGTCTACTTCCTGGCTGCTCAGCTCTTTTCCAATAAATTTGCATATTTGAAGGATGGTACCTCTAGGGTCCTGGAAGAAGAAGTATTTGCTTTTGGAATATTTCTACAGGAATTTTGTACACCCTTAATTTGGAGTAAGCTCCACTGAACTGAATGGAATTGATTTCTGGGTGAAAGCATTATATAAAATAGCATTAAAGGTTAAAGAAGTATCATTTCTTTATGCAGATAAAAGTCAGTGGAAATGAACAGGATGGAGATCCTCGACAACAGACACTTCCCATTACATCTTCATCAATTTCAGATGAAACAAGTTATGTATATATGTATGTGTGTGTAAATTACTATATGTACTTACATACATACCATAGATGTAACACACATACACACAAATATGTATCTATGTAATGGGATATGTTATATGATACTCTGCTATTTTTTCTCTATCCTAATAGGCTCAGTGTTATCTTAATGCTTTCTAATTGATCTTGATTAACATGACTAAATCATTTCAACAAATGTGCTTCTCTTATATAGATTGCTCTCATTTGTATTTCATCCATATTCATTCAGCACTTATTAAATCTTAATGCTAACTGTTCTTATTTCATCACCTATTTACAGTTCCATTCAACTTTTTATATTTCACCTGACCAAATCACCATTCCTTTTAACAAAGTAAGCAAAGCATGCTCTTATAGGCAGTCATTTTCATTTTGTTCTTTGGCAAATATTCCTTCTTGTCAGTGTACCATAACATCTCCTACCTTTATACCCATCAGCATTTGTACATTTTAAACTTTTTTTCTGCTCTTTAGTTGAATTCTGCTAATTACATGGATTCAAATATTTCAAAGAGTTTTAAGGATTCAATCCATATTTATATTAATTTTCAAATCAATATTTCTCATTCTACATTTCTTCTAACAATCAATGAGAATCATTTGAGTTATTATCCAATAACATGGCATTGTCTATGTATGTACAGTGTGCACGGTCTACAAACCTAAATATAGGAATGTTCAGTCCCTATGAATGTCATCAGAAAAGTAGTTATCATATGTACTAACTTATTATGGGAACATTATAAGGGTTAATCAGTGACACCGTCAAAGTAAACAATCAAAATCCATGTGGTAAAATGGTTACTGGCCCTTTTCTTCCATCACTTATGCTTTGATCACCTTGTGGGTTGCAACATACTCTACATGGGGTTGCAGTTGTACAAGCATTAATGAACAGCCTTGTTATAACCATGTAACACCATGGCTTCATCAGCTGCATTGGTTTCTAATATGTTCCCAAGTGTAATTCAGGCTACAGGTATTACCTACAAAACCCTGCTGGACCCAGCTGTTTTAGAGACCCTCAGTCTCTTGAAGTGCCTGTGCTGTGTGATTAGACAGAGCTGGCTCTTTGGGATTTGTTGAACAAGCGATGTCATCTGGCAGGACTAGGGAAGCTGGCCTTTTTTATCATAATATTTGCACCCTGAACCACCATCCTCTTGGAAATTCAGCTCTTCTCAACTTCTTCTGCTTTGAAATGAACTCAAAACACTTGGCTCTTTTCCTAGGTTTGGATTAAGCACTCCCCTTTGTGGGAGAATGATGTGGAAAAGTGTTGTGGAAAACTGCTGGACAACTTATAGAGGAGAAGAGACCACATGGATCAATTAAAAACCATTGTTGACTGCAAAGGAATACTGATCAGCTGTTTGTCAGCTAGCAGAGCATTGGAGGTACTCAACAGCATGTCTTCTGGGACAGCAGTGAATTGATTTGCTTTTTTAAAAATGCCAACAGGCAGCAGAGGCTGCTTGGCAGGTTCTATATGGTGCCTGCCTGCCTGCCTTAGGGTATATATGTTCTTTTCTTATATAAAATTATTTGGTTTTATTTATTTATTGTTTTTTTTAATTCTGTGAATCTACTGTGAGTTCCCCTCCCCCCTACACACACATGTTTAAGGAGCTGATTTTAAAACTCAACACACACAAAAATCTGAATTAGCAGTCAAAAGCAGTCAAAAGAAGGTTCAATACTGTCATGCCCTAGGATTACCCCAAATCAATGCAATCACGTGGAGGGTCACAATAAGTATTCACTTTAGGTCTGCTACCAGCCTTTCCTAATAGATTAGGTAACCCATCATATCTGATAGGGTGACCTCTGTACTATGCGGATTTTGTCTGTTTACTTCAATGATTAAGCTACTGACAAACTTCCATTATGTTAGTATGCATTATAAATTTCACAAAATTCCTAAAATATATTTTTTACAAATATATTAAACAGCTCAAAGGGATGTTGCTTTGTCTTACTCCCCACTCAACCTTGCACTATTCCCTTAGCACTCTTAAGAAAAAGTTCCACACTTGGGTAAAAAATCCATAATTCAATGCTATACCATTTTATTTATATAACTTCTAAATTATCAAATGCACTAATTTACCCCATGCCTCTAATAGCAATGCCACAGTCAATCATAGTTTATTTCCTATAAAATAAAGTTACTGCACTTTTTGTGGAATTTGAAAAGCTGTTTGTTGGCTTGATGCATAGTTCCCTTGTCAAACTCTTAAAGAAGGATGGAAAGAGAACAGGGATAGAAGAATGGTGTGTTCTTGCTGTATCTCCTCTTCAGGAACTTGATCTGTTCAAAAGCTTCAGAACAAAACCGTTTGCCCGTGTCCCTTCTCTACACACTTCTTTCAGGAAAAAAAAGCCCTGCTGAATCAGCTCTAATTTTCCTTAGTTGCATAAACAGAGATTTTGATTTTCAAATTCTTGGCAAACTCACTGAAATGGTTTACGTAGAGTGCAAAAGAAAAACAGGCACGAACTCTTCTTGGAAGAGAGGGAAATGTAAAAGTTAGGATGTTCAGAACATTCACAAATGTTCAACCATAGATAAAAATGAACTCTGACCCTTACCTGCATCTCTGTTTGTCGAGGCCTATCCCCTAAATCCTACTGATCCTGACCAAAGAGTAAGAGGGGAAAAGAAGTGAATAGTCTCACCTGCATTATTTCCTCATAGCACAGAATGAGAATATTAAACTCATTTTGATGTGTATACCAGCCTTTCACATGATCGAAGACCGAACTGCCAGCAACTGTTGATTCAAGCAGAGAATGGAAATAAGAATGGTAATGCTTAAGTTAATTCTGATTCCTCACATGAGCTATGAGGAAAATAATTCTCTTTTAAATATTATATACACAAAGCCAATGTCAGTCATTCATAATGATTTTGAAGATCACTTCTTTTTAAGCAGCATGCATTATAAAATTAGAATAAGAACTCTTTGAAGGCCCTGTCTTTGGAAATGTAAAACATTGCTAAGACTACCAACAATATTTTTTGCATTTTTAAGGAGTACAGGTGGCCATCAACTGTTTATTCAGTGACTGTTTGAATTTATGACAGGGGAATGAAGGGGCTTATGACTCTTGCCCAAATTTATGACTGCTGCCATGCTCCCATGATTGTGTGAACAAACTTTTAGCTCTTGGCAATCCGCCTGCTGCAGTGGCCTCCCCAACTATATTCTTCCCATACTGTCCCACTGGGTCCCTGTTAAGCCCTCGAGTTAATGGCAAAACAAGAACACAAATTCTGAAGCCAACAATGGTTTGTTCTTCTTCTGCTCACTCCAACACAACTCAGAGGCTCACAGGCCTCTCTTACATTAAATAGAATCCCCAGCCAAAAAGGTTACAATGGAAATGGCGTGCTTTTGCGCTTTGTGCATGCGTGCAGGCTGGCGCCACTTAGTCTGGTCCCGGGCAGCTTTCAACAGCCTGGGACCATAGCAATGTCCCGAGCCTGCTTTTGCAGGCTCAGGACACAACAGTCCCTGTGGGCTTGGGCCTGCCTCACATTGCACTGGGAGCCACATCCTTCTTCCTACTTCCATCACCGATCAATCACTTGCCATTTTGGTGTTGTAGATCTCCTTCTGGAAGCAGCCACTCCACCAGGTAGCCCTCCTACATAGTAAAGGCCATGTGGCTGTGTCAAGGAAGTGGGCATCATTTTGGAATAGCCCCAATTCATTGCGATTACTCCCAAAATGGTCTCTGCTTCCAAGGCAGAACCTAGGAGCTCGAGGGGCTGAGTTGCCTGTTCTCCTTCCCCAGTCCCACACTGAGGAACAAAGCAGGCTGTTTTGTGCCTCAGCCTCTCCCTCTACATTGGAGGTTGCAAGGCAGCCATTTTGGGAGCAGCTTCCATGAATTGTGAGACCTATGAGATGCTGAAGGCTAGGAAGCAGAGTGTGGGCCACCTTGGGAGGCCCAGGGCAGAGTGGGGCAGGTCTTGGGAGGCCCAGGGCAGGCCATGAGTGAGCTGTAAAGATGCTGCAGCACAGTCCTGCACCTGCAGTAGGGTTCCCAGGGTCTCCCCCACCCCAGAGACACCCCATGTTCTGCTTAATTACCAACCCTATTGCTTAACACCCAGGGAGAGCAGGGACGGGGGTTGTTAAGCAAGGTGATCAGGTGGGTACCTCACTTACTGACCATTATGGCTTGTGATCATCACAGTTATAAGTTGAAGAATACCTGCTTAGAAATGGCAATTGTTAGGCAATGGGTCTTTGCTAGGCACCATATCTGAGCTGCAGTGCTTCCTTGTGTCTTACCTGGGAACATCTGAATGTTTGCTTCTCAGATAGATATGGAAAGTGAAGTTTCTGCAGTTCTAGCAAACTTGGCAACTGTTCATGCTTGGCATCTTTGTCCACAAGGAAAATACCTTACTGTTTGCTTTGTAGCTAAGGTTCAAAATGGCTAGCATCTGACAGAATGGAATATACTTCACTTCTCAGAAACTTTTCCTTGCTGTGGGAAGGAAACTGTTCTTTGCTGTCAAGATAGCAACTTAACAAGAGGCTCACTTTTTCAGTCTGGGACAGATGTGGCTGCTTTTGGCTGCAACCACACCAGAAGGGATTGCCTGTTTTAGTTTTCAGAACCTAAAAAAAAGCATGGTTATCTTTCTTCCCCACAATTTGCTGATAAACATAAATGAAAAGGCCCACATGCAGAATTCAGAGCAAGGAAGGTTTACTAAAATCCAGATTCATTTGCGTTCAAGAGAGGCTGACTAAAATACATGGCAGTGAAGACAGTTACAATTAATTATGTTGTTGTTAGTTGCGAAGTCGTGTCTGACCCATCGTGAACCCATGGACAGCATTCCTCCAGGCCTTCCTGTCCTCTACCATGTTCTGGAGTCCATTTAAGCTGATGCCTATTGCTTCAGTGGCTCCATCCAGCCACCTCATTCTCTGTTGTCCCCTTCTTCTATTGCCCTCAATCTTTCTCAGCATTAGGCTCTTCTCCAGTGAGTCCTTCCTTCTCATTAGGTGGCACAATTAATTATAGTCCTGAGTTAAAGAATGATTCAATTGGGATTGTTTTCACTCATCCAAGCCAATTGTTGTTTCTGGCCAAGTTCATAACATTACTGTTTGCCTATATTTCCTCTAGTGAACATAGATTCTTATTGCTATGTTGTCTGACATGGACTTTATTTTAATAGAGAGAGGCGGTGGTTCCTGGGTGTTTCATTTTTTCCCCACACAAACCAATGAGAAGCAACTGTGCAAAGTGAGATTTAGCCTGGTGCCTCATTGGAGGGACAGGACACTTTAGATTCATTAGGTCTACAGTTGTCTCTTATTGCTGAAATGCTTCAAACTGAGTGTTGTTGCTTTTAGTAACTCCAAGGGGACACACTAGCCCTTTTTGACAGTGTTGTGGTAATTAAACATTTTATTTCCATCTTACCGTCTCCAGATAAAAACTTTTGCATGTATTTCTCCAAATTAGTTGAATTTTCAATTCCATGGAAAGATTTGCGAAAATGAAAATAGGACACTAAAATATCTTTTGGATTTCGGTACACGTAAATAACCTGCAAGAATATATATTATATGTAATCTGTAATACTGTAAATACATTTATTTTTAATAAACTGAGGATACATTCTAAAGCACATTGAAAAATGTTCTTATACAATTATATAAATCTTTCTCTTTTCCTGATATAAAGTATATTACACTGCCCCCACATTTTATTCTTATTATCATGTCACGAATTACAGAACACTGAGATATAGAAATTGGCTATAGAGTAATTGGCTATATTAGCAATGAAACAATAAATAATACCCTAATCAAGGAACTACCAACTTAGACAAACAATCACACTGTTGTTTACAGTAAACAACAGCCTAATTGAGGAACTACCAAGAACAGTCCTAGCAACACTGACAGGGCAAGCCACTTCTACATAAAGTGGGCAAACCCCATTCCTTTCTAGCACTCAGGATGTTACCTAGTTGGGTAATGAAATGTCTGCAAGAAAACAACTAACCTTAGAGAGCACCAACGATCCCACAATTAACTCAAAGTTGTCTTGTGTTTTTAATGGATCAATCTATGTCAAGATTTTTCATTTAGGTAAAAAAAAAATCTTTTTTAAAAAAAGGCAAATTGCTAAATACAGTTGCATCATCTTGTTCAATTAAAGATCTGCACTTTATCTTGCTTTCTGCAGAGAATAAGGGAAAAAGTCTTAACAGAGTTGGAAGGGATCTTGGAGGTCTTCCAGTCCAAACTCCTGCTCAAGCAGGAGACCCTATACCATTTCAGACAAATGGTTGTCCAGTCTCATCTTAAAAACCTCCAGTGTTGGAGGACCCACAACTTCTGGATTAATTAATTAATCTATTAATCTATTATTCTACTGATTAATTGTTCTAACTGTCAGGAAATTTCTCCTCAGTTCTAGGTTGCTTCTCTCCTTGATCAGTTTCTATCCATTGCTTCTTGTCCTGCCTTTGGAGAATAGGTTGACCCCCTCTTCTTTGTGGCAGCCCCTCAAATATTAGGACACTGCTACCATGTTCTTAGTCTTCTTAGTCCTTCTCTTCACTAGACTGACTAGACATACCCAGTTCCTGCAACAGTTCTTCATATGTTTTAACCTCCAGCCCCCTAATCATCTTTATTACTCTTCTCCACACTCTTTCTAAAGTTTCAACATCTTTTTTATGTTGTGGGGTCCAAATCTGGATGCAATATTACCAGTGTGGTTTTACCAGATCTTGTATTTCAGTGCTATAAACATACAGCTTGATCAAGAAACCACATTTGAGGGCAACCCAAGGGACTCTATGAAGGCTCTAGCCTGATGGCTCCTGAAAAGCCCTCAAAAGCTTTGATGCTTTCCACTTGTCTTTCCTTGAACTCTGACTTTTTCTCAGCATCTCTTGGACCCAATGACAGGGATACTTCTTCCTTAGACTTCTCATTGGGTAGCAATAATTCTGGTTCCTGAGAGCTATTGCCTTGCTTCTGTTTTTATTCCCACTTTGGTTTATGACAGGGATAGATTTCTCTTGCGTTCAATGTTCATTTAGTAGGTATTCATCTGGTTGTGGACTCTGTTCCTATATCACCTGTCTTTTTTCCCCCTATTTGATATTGTTTTTCATTTGGTGTATAGCAAAATGGAATTTTTCTGCTCTAATTGTAGATTATGCCATTTTTGTGTAGGTTATCATTAAAAACAAGCATGAAAAATCATTTATGAAATTTCATTTCCAATTAGTTCAGATGGGGCCATCACTTCAAATAATTAAATCCTTAATGATTCAGTACCTTGAGAAAGAATGGGCATGGCCTCCAATCAATTTATGCTTCAGTATAAAACTTAGAAGTTTTATCTTTTAAGAATTTGTGTGCACTCCTGGCTTTTTTTCTCACATTGATAAAGGTTAATACTGCTTTATTACAGTTCTTTTTCTCCTATAATCTGTTCTCTAGTGTTCATTCCTAGTTTTCTCCTACATGAATATAAACATGCATATATGTATATGTATACACACACACACACACACACACACACACACATATACACATATACATACGGTACAAATAAAATACGAACACCAGGAGAGTATAAATATAAAAATATACTTTACTAAAAGCTGCCAAGCTTTCGTTTGGAAACTCCAAACATCATCAGGGCTAAGGAGCCAGTAAACAATGATGACTTAAATGGGTTTTGCCAGCATCTGCAGCCGGCTCATGGACCGCGTCACCGGTCCCAGCCGGTTAATTAGTGTTCCAGATGTTTCTTTATTACTCTCCTTACGCTTCCTTCTATGGTTCTTCCGGATCGTTCCTTCCACTATCTCATTACTGGCATTCATCTCCTCCACCACCCCTTTATCCTTATTTCCTTCCATAGTACCGACCCTCCTCCCCTTTTTGTTTTCATTTTCCACCCTGGGGGCATCTGTTTCTCCTCTATCAGTGTTACAAGCTTCCCTGGGCTCACAGACGCTCCCCCATACACACGCTTTTCTCAATCCCTGCTCCACACCCTTTCTTCTCACTTCTCCACTGTCATGAGTAACTTTCATACGGGTGTTGCATATTTGGGGGTCTATGCCCTCCTCCTCCGTCCTGGCAATCTTCGTGTCGACAGTTCTCCACCGTTCCATTTGTTTGCTGCAGATGCCGGCAAAACCCATTTAAGTCATCATTGTTTACTGGCTCCTTAGCCCTGATGATGTTTGGAGTTTCCAAACGAAAGCTTGGCAGCTTTTAGTAAAGTATATTTTTATATTTATACTCTCCTGGTGTTCATATTTTATTTGTACCATAGACATGCCCAGGAGTCGTATTTTTATGCAAATTTTCCAGCATATACATATACATACACATTCCTTGTATTTTTTAGCTAACTCACTATTATAGTTAGAATAGAGTAACAAGATTGGCTTACTTTTCCTTTTGGCTTTTTTTCTCACATAGATAAAGGTTAATAGTGCTTTATTACAGTTCTTTTTCTCTGCTAATCTGTTTTCTACTGTTCATCCCTAGTTTTCTCCGAAATGAATATAAACATGCATATATGTATACATACACACACACACACACACACACACACATACTGTATATATACTGTATATATACATATACATATACATTCCTTGTATTTTTCAGCTAACTCACTATTATAGTTAGAATAGAGTAACAAGATTGGCCTACTTTTCCCTTTTGGGCCCTCAGTTTCTTGGGAAGTAAGTAATATGGTAGATGTGACATGATGACACGAGGTGATGGCATCTGGCTCATATCCACATTGTATATGTTGTATTCTATGGATGCACACCGTTGTGCTATGGAAATATTTTCTGTTCCATTCCGATGGCCTTCATACAAAATCAAGCATACAATATTCTGGATCCAAATAGTTCCTAAAAATGAAAATCAACCTGTTTTAAACTCCAGGAAATAATCTAGGTATCACATTACATATGGGATTCTCCTCATCACAGAAATAAAATGTAACTTATCACATACTCATGCATCATGTAGAGCAAGGCTTTTCAACCTTTTCTACCATTTTACCACTTTTAGGATATGGCAACATCTGAGTACCAACAGTCACCCAGCAAGGTGTCAAAAACTTGATGACCAAAAAAAAAAAGAAAGAAAAAAGTGATAAAGTACAGGTAGTTCTCGATTTACAACAGTTTGCTTAGTGACTGTTCAAAGTTACAATGGCACTGAAAAAAGTGCCCCCCAAGCCACAGCCGAGCAAGACACCTCTTGCCAACCCAGCAGTGCTCTTCCTCCTGTCCGAGGTTTTCATTGTTGTGAGCATTTCTGTTGAGGATTGGCAGCGGGGATGGGGCGTGTTTGGTTTTTATTCACCCCGTCTGCTGGGTGGTTGCAGCAGGTTTTGGTCACTTCACATGACTCTGGGACACTGTGAGTGTCATAAATATGAATCAGTTGCCAAGCATCTGAATGTAAATCACAAGACCCTGGAGATGCTGCAACATTCCAGCTGATCGGCGCTTCTTCTGGGCTCAGCAGAAGCGCCAGAATCAATGCTGCTTTCCAGCTGATTTGTGCTTCTTCAGGGCTCAGCAGAAGCACCAGGATCAGTGCTGAGCTCCAGCTGGAGCCTGGCGCTGATCCTGGCGCTTCCACGGAACCCTGATAGCCCCAAGAAGCGCTGATCAGCTGGAAAGCAGCACTGATCCTGGCGATTGCACTGAGCCTGACAGCCCTGCAGTTCCAGCCATCTCTCGCTCAGGCTTGTGCGGTGCTGCCACCAGTTCAGCTCATTCCCCTCACCTGCCACCACTTTTCTAGGATGGTCGCATACCACCTCCATACCACCTGCCAGGCGCCAATGTACCACAGGTGGTACCCGTACCACTGGTTGACAAGCCCTGACCTAGAGAGAAAACTCACTTAAAATCTAGAAATGTCCCATTTGATATTTAGAAATGTCTTAAAGCAAGCAAGAATAATATTTGATTATTTTGTGAGTTGTATGAAGTAGTCAATGGTTCTGAAGTTCTGGATTGAGAGTTTTAGGATATCAAACCTATGTCTCCATATGTACTAAATTCTAAACTCTGGGCCTTACGTTCCTTGTTGGAATAGGAAGGAATAATAGAGGTATCATTTTTTGCTACTACTAGACCTCTTCTCCCAAGGGTTCCTCATTGAGGAAGGAAGGAAGAAGGAAGGAAGGAAGGAAGGAAGGAAGGAAGGAAGGAAGGAAGGAAGGAAGGAAGGAAGGAAGGAAGGGAGGAAGGAAAGAGAATGGCAGGTGGCATTACTGAAGTGAAACCTCATGGTGTTCCATAGATACATTCTTTCCTTCTTCCTAGGTCTAGAGCTCTTGAGAAAGAAAGGAGCTTGGAAATGAATGAAACTTCCCAAAAAGAAAGTTTAGTTACAGTATGAAATTCAAATATACATTTCTCATATCATATTACAGAATTCTTACCAGATTTTGGATAAGTGGCTATGAATATATCACTGTCTCTGACTTCAAAATCTTCTACTGACTCAAGAAGGTCAAGTTTCATGAATTCTGTTGATACATTATATCCTTTATAGTTGAATAGTTCTGCATGTGATGCTCTTTCCATAATAATATAGCTGCAATAAAAGAGAAATTAAACTTTTTTCCCCTCCTTAATGTTAGCAGCATAAGCAGAGTGTTGGGATCTCTCACTTTATAAGCCCTTTGTTTCAATAATTCACACTTGGCAGCCTTCTTCAGCGACGATCCCCAAGAGAAAACAAACTGGAAAAATTCAGATTTTTTTTTTCTACAACTGTTAAAACAGGAACTCAAAACATTACATTTAAGGTCTTCAACAGAGAAAAACAAGGAAGATGAAATTTTTATAGCTGTTATATATTCCCAGGAGATGGAGAAACTTTTTGAACTTAATTTAACAAAAAGTAATAAAAATATCATGTTGGTAGTACCATTCTTTGATGGAAAGGAAAGAGGAATTTTAAAGTGTTCCGCAAAATTTAGTGGAGACTGATGTTAAAAATGTTCTAGGAGATCATGCAATTTAGAAAGCCCAGTGTTTATTTTCTTATTGTAATGTCCATGGAGTTTCTAAATCATGATGGTTGTCCCAAAGGTCCTGTTCAAAAGGCAAATGGACTTCCTTAGTTTTTTTCTTTGAAAACAATTTGCTTCTCATCCAAGAAATGTTTTCAAGAAAAAACAAAGAAAGACCTCCCTTTTTGCCTTTGTCAAATTATTTTAACAGGGTGCAATTATTCTTGAAAAATGTTATACTTTTTTAATTAATTGTACCATTTAACTTTAACATTTTAATTTTTCTATAGTGTTTTATATTTTGATGCTTTATTATACATCAACCAGAATCCCTCTCTGAGGGAGATGGGCAGTTCAGAAATGTGAAATATAAATGAACAAGCCTTGGTATAAGAGAATTTTCTCTCTTTTTCTTTCTGTCATGTGTTCACTCAGCAACCTTTCACTTTTCAGACCTGGTTGTTGGAAAGGAACTCTGTTACTAAATTAGTGGGTAAATAAGTACTCCTTATTTACATTGCATGAGATCAATGTTAGTCTGGGATAGTAAAAATTCAGGCATCTGATAGCATCTTTCCAGATTAAAACTTTTTATAAGAAGGCACACACTTTTGTTAGAAGCTTATTAGCTTCTGACTCCTTCTGATTCCTAGTTTATAGTAATTACAAATATAGTTGTACATAGCTAGTTGATATTCTAATGACTTTATAAAGATTTTATTGGTTTTTTCTCATAAACATATATTAATTTTTCCAATCAACGGTTTGGCAGAGAATGAGATGGCCATGAGAGGCTGGTTCTCCAGCCTCTCAGTCTGTTTCGCTTCACCTAGCATCTCTTAAAGGGATGGAAAGTTGCCCTGGAGGGGCAACGAAGAAAGAGGGATATTTCAGGAGCTTAGATTTCGTGGCAACCAATCTGGGTGGACTGAAGCCCCCTCTAAAGGGGAAGAAGAAAGGCTGCCTGGAGAGCCAAGGCAGCCAAAGTTGTCTACAGCCAGAACGGAAGCTATAAAAAACAGTTGATCTCCAACAACATGCTGTGTCTGGGTGAGCTGAAGTCTTTTCCTTCTCCTTGTGATTGAAAATGTTGAGACCCTGAAAGGGAGAACTTGAAAGAGTAAAGACCACCAGAGAGACTTTTGAAGCGGCAATTTAACATTAAGGAGAAATATTGAGTTTGTAGTGTGGAGACTGATAAATAAGCTGAGGAGGACACCTAGTGGCGAAAAACAAGGAATAAAAACAAAGTGACCTTGAGAAACTTGAGAACAAAACAAAGCCTTGGTTTGAGATAACAAAGACTGTTTATAGCTATGCTTGTTGACATTGGCTAAAAACCAAATAGACATTATCTGGGAAAAAAAGAACATTTTAGATCCAAGAAAGGACTGGAGGAGGTGGATTTGCCTCACAACAGCTGATTCCTGTTTACGCTTTGGATATAGGTTTAAGACTCTGAGCCACAAAATGAGTATATCTAATATTTCCAGACTTGCAAAGAAAATCTCATCAGTGCCCTCTGTCGTACAAGCCAGCCCAACAACTCAGAGTTTTGTCGGTACATTGCTACAGTGTGACAAAGCAAGCACGGCTCAAGATGAAACACAGGCCTCATTAAAATTAATTCAAGAAATCTTGCAGAAAAACCACGAGGAGACACAAAGTTAACTGGAGAAAGTAAGCAAAGAAATTCTGGATATAAAGGCACAATTTGAAGTCCAAAATCAAAAGATCATTAAAAATGAACAGAAAATCCAGGAAGTGGAAAATAAAACTGAGGACATTGATAAAAAGGTGGAAATGTTATTGCAAAGAATGAAGGACTGGAACAAACAAATCAAGAGCTAGAACGGGCAATGGCAACGGTAGAAATGAGAGAAGTGGAACATTATTTGAGATTTCAAAATACTCCTGAAGATAGTGAAGAAAATATAGAAATGGTGATCATTGCGTTGTTGGCAGAACTTTTAAATGCAGATAGAGCAGCTATCCAGAATGAGACGGATCAAATATTCTGCATGAATTCAAGCTATGCAAGAAAAAAACAGACTACCAAGAGAAGTGCATGTGAGGTTCATGAAGAAATCAACAAGAGATGAAGTACTGAGAAAAGTGAGAGAGGAACCATTACAATATAAAAATAAAGAAATTGTGGTCCTAAAACAGATGCCCAAGAGAGTAAGGGATACCCGGAGACACTACCATTTTATAACTACAAAGTTGATTGCCAAAGGCATAAATTTCAGAAGGCTAATGTCAGACGGCATTTTAATAAACTGGAATAATACAAGATATCGACTGCATTCAATAGGGAAAGCAGAGGACTTTGAAGTAAGAAATAGAGCAATTTTGGATGAAGGACTGCATCAACAACAAGGGGATAAGCAGATGGGAGAGACGGTCCAAGGAGTAATGGCACAAGCAGAACAACAGAAGGAGGAAGGTGAATAAACAGGTGAAGGAGAAGGAACTGCCAGAGAACAAAGGACTACAAGATCGACTAGACCAAAATATAAGTAATAAAAGAGGAAATGGAGGAAAAAAATGAATTTTTTTCGGTAAACGTAAATGGACTAAACTCCCCATCAAAAAGAAATAAAATTTTTAGGAAATTTCAGAAATTAAATATAGATATAATCTGTTTACAAGAGACACACATAAAAAAACAACATTACAAACTGTTGGAATACCTGAAAATGGGGAAGCTTCATTACACATCAGCACAACAAAAGAAACGAGGGGTGGCTGTATTCGTTAAAGAGACAATAGATTCTAAATTATTATACTCAGATGAAGAAGGAAGAATTGTAATGGTTGAAATATATTTACATCAAAAACAAATACTGTTAGTGGTAATTTATGCCCCAAATGACAATCAAGAACAATTTTATCAAAGGTTACACAGAAAACTAATAGAAATGGAATACCAAAATATATGTTTAATAGAAGACTTTAGTGCAATAGTAGATGGAACAATGGATTACAAAAGTAGCAAAACAGGAAAACCCATCTTTGATATGGCAGAAGAAATTGGAATACAAGATCTCTGGAGAGAAATCAATCCTCAAAACTGACAATATACTTTTTAGTCAAATAGCCATAAATCTTGGTCAAGAATTGACATGATTTGGATGACTTCTGAATTAAGGATGGATATACAGGAAATTGAGATAGAAATAGGCACATGGGCAGATCATAATCCTTTAAAAGTGACATGGACAGGAATACAAAAAAACCAAGATGGATTTTACATCAATCTATACTAAATACGCTAAAGCGTATTTTAGAGGTATAGCTATAACATATATGGCATAGAAAAATAAACAGAGAAGACAGCAATATTTATTATTAAAAGAAAAGTTTAGAAAATTAGAGATAGAATTACAACAAAACCCACAGAAAAAGACATTGAAAAGAGAAATGGAAATAATAAAACATAAGCTGAATTTGTTGGACTCAGAAAAGTTGGCGGACAAATAAAGAGAGCAAAATAAAATTTCTTCGAAAATGCTAATAAGTCAGGAAAATGGCTAGCTTATAAGCTTTAAAAACAGTGATGCAAAACTGAACAGGGGAGAAAGAGCAGATCTCCCAGCCGTCCATGGCGGCTGCATCGCTGGGGGGCCCTGAAAAGGGCCAAAAATCACCCCAGAGAGGCAACCAGCAAGGAGGGGCTTTTTCTGGATCACAGGAGAGCAGCAACTTTCCTGTGAGACCTGGCATTTCCTCCAAACTGGTGGACAAAAGCCATAGAAATATGGCTCGTCCCTAGGCTGCTAACAGCTGAAGTCACATTAACATCTGGCAACTTCAAAGCAGCATGGAAAGGATTGGGTGAGATCTGCCTCTCTTACATCCTAATTACTTAATTTCCTGCATAAGCTGCTAAAGTACTTTCCCCCCTGTGGTGAGGGAAGGGGGCTTTTAGCCCTTCCTCCAGAAACAGCGGCTATCAACCACTTGGGAGTCTAAAACGCTGGGAAAAATACTGGGATCCTAATTGCAATTCTATTTTTTAAAACTGGTGGATTATAAGACTTGTAACTTTATGTTCTCTATTTTTAGTTCTTCTCTGATTTTTACTCTAACTATTATTGAAGATTTGGGTTCTTTTCTCCCCCTTAAAAAAGAGGGGGAAAAGAAAACTGAAAAGATCTAACTAACTCTGAGATGACATTTGCGGGCTAAATTTGAGACTCTAACCTGCTATTCTTTAAGAGAGACTTGTTGATTGCCTTAAAAACAGATAAGATACAAAGTAACCTTGAAGAACCATCTGCAAGAAACTCAACTCAGCTTTTTACTTGGTGGACTTTCTGATTGTAAGTTTTTTGTTTAGTTTAATATACGACAATGGAAGAAGAACAGGAATGGATTTCTCCCACAGAGGAAGTACAGAAACAAATTCTTTATATGTTAAAAGCAATTATCCAAACTCTCCTTATTCAAGCTCAAACTATGACTTCAACTAAAGAATCATCTATACAGAATTCTATAGAGAAGGGGAAACAACCAAATGTTATGACAGAAGACTTAGATACTCAACAATTACAAACTGTGGAAAACATGGGAAGGAAACTGATAGTAGACAACAAGGAAAGGACTTTTCTTATAAACCAGAAGGAATTTGAAGATAAAAAAGAAAAACAGATGAAAAACAAGATAAATACTTTGAGACAACTGCATCAAACTGGAAAAATAAAGAGACGAACTGTTAAACCAGCTAGCCCTCTTAAGAAAACAGCAACTTATATTGTCTTATTAGTTTGTTAAGATATATGATAGATTTTACATATAAGGTCTGTATTTTAAATATTAGATCATATGAGGAATTGTGATAAAGGAATCGTGTTTAATTAAAATTTGGAAAAAAAGATAAATATTAAATGTTAAATTAAAATATTAAGGGAAAATCAATTACCAGGTTACTGATTTGCTAAAAGTTTGAATGTTTATAGATAACTAAGACTTGAATTTAAGATATTGTCATGAGTTGAGGCACAGGTTAAATAAAACATAGAAGTATAAATACTAATAATTAAATTCGTATATTAGCTTGTGGTATAAATGCTGATGGTTTACTTATTTATTTATTTTTCTCTTTTTCTGGAAAGGAAAGAAGTAGAAAAAGGAAAAGAAAAGAAAAATTATTAGCCCTAAATATGAGATAGGAGACTGAAAAATTGGGATCATTTAAAATCTGGAAATGATAAAGATTAAACGTTAAATTTAAATATTAATGCAAAATTAAATTAAGAAAAACATATTAGGTTATTATCTAAAAGATGGAATGTCAAATTAATTAAGATATGTATAGACTGAAGATTATTGATGAATATAAGAAAGGTATTTTTTGTTTGATTGATAGAATAACAACTGTATTGATCTGAATATGATAGTAGATCTTATGGGGGAAAGAGAGGGAATTTGTTGTTGTAATACTTTGAGATTTGTACTGATGATATTTAAATGTAATGGAATTACGATGCTCAACTGCCACACTACTTTTGAAACATGTAAATGCAATATTGGAAAATTAATAAAAAACTTGGACATAAAAAAAGCTTAAAAAATAAAAAGAGAAGAAAATAATACATAATTTAGTAGATGGGAAAAGTTGTTTACAATTTAAAAAGGAAGAAATAAAAAAGATAATTAAGGAATATTATAAGGTATTGTATGGTAAAGAGGAGGCTGCAAGAGAGAGAATTGTTCAATACCTAGAAGAAAGTAAATTGCCAAAAATTCCAGAGACATTTAAAACTATGTTAGAAGAAAGAATAACAATGATGGAGATATTAAAGGCTATAAAATGACAAAAAAATGGGAAAACACCAGGCCCAGATGGGCTACCGGCGGAACTTTATAAAAATCTACAAGATACATTAAGTGAACCACTGAAATATGTTTGTAATGGACTATTGTTAGAGGCCAAACTTCCAAATACATGGATAGAAGCAAATATTACTTTGATACCAAAAGAAGATTCAGACTTGACGTATATTAAGAACTATAGACCAATTTCATTACTCAATGTGGATGTCAGCCTCCCTACTGGACTCCACACGAAGAACGCACTGACGAGATTTCTGGGTGAAAACACCTCCGGTTTACTTCAAGGAAAGGCAATGACGTTTAACACAGACAAGCGTTGCACCAGCTCTGTGCTATACAATGTTTGCGCTGGGAGCAACTGCCTCCCAGTGTTAGTTAAATACACTTACGTTTTCACTCCACCCTATGCAATTATGGACCACACCTTCATCACACCCGTGCTCATTAACCTCCACCTGCACCACACCCGAATCATCCACGTCTCCCTACCACACCCAACGTCTCCACCCTCCTGGCCTCCAATCAGCGTTTCAAAACATTCTCGTCGAATCAATCCTCCTTAGTACGCCTTGCGCTAGCAAAGCAATCCGCGGGTCGCCGCCTATCAGCTGATTTCAAATCCACCGCTGATCAGCTGTTTGGTGGATTTGAGGTGGCTCTGCGCATAGGTAACAGTCCTTCTGTGCATGTCAGTTCCTGCTCCTTAGAACTGCCGATGCTCCGTATTATCGTCGGAGGCTCCACACTCATGTACTCTGTGGAAATGCCGTGCTGCTGTACACTCTTCCTTCTCAATTCATAGGTCAGTTCCCCCCGTCTTGTGTGTCAAGCCCGGGAGGGCTTGACATACGGCCCCCTTGCCAAGTGTCCTCCTGCAACAGGTAAAACATAGATTAGGTTGGTAGGGGAGTTACAGGCACATGTCCCCTACCCCCTGGCTTTTGAGGATATTTACGATGATATTTACGTATCAACTGAGGGGCTTCCATATCTGTTTCCCTCACCCATGATGCCTCTGATAGTGGATATCCCTTCCATAGTACTAGATACTGCAATCGACCCCTCCTATACCTTGAATCAAGTAGTTTCTCGATTTCATAATGACCTCCCCCAACTTGGCCTGGTGGTTGAGGTATTTGCCTAAATGATGGTTTAGTTACCGGCTTTAGTAACCCGCTGTGGAAAACTGGGTACACTCTCCAAGGGTGCGAGGTAGCTTCAATTTTACTGTCACAGGGTGGATTACCCATTCTATTTTGAAAGGTCCGATATATTTTGGGCCTAGCTTTTTGCATGGCCTGCGTAATTTTAAATATTTGGTGGATAGATACACTTCTTCACCAACTTGGAAAGGTTTCTGTGGGCTCCTCCTTTTATCCGCCTGTTTTTTCGCTGCTCTCTCCGCTTTTTGTAGGGCTTTTTAACTGTTATCCACACATTGTTGATTTGCTTTATCCACTCGCTTGGTTGCTGTGATCCCGTATTCCCTTGAGGTAATTCGGGGATAGGGACAAAATCCATCCCGTTAACCACTCTAAATGGAGTAAACCGTGTGCTACTGTGGAGGGTGTTATTATACGCTACCTCTGCAAACGGTAGGAGTTCAGCCCAATTTGTCTGCTGATAGTTAACGTAACATCTGAGATATCATTCAATCATGGCATTGGCACGTTCAGCCCCTCCGTTCGTGTTGGGATGAAATGCAGTACTTAGTCCTTGAGATGATCCAATCAACTTGATGAAGTTTTTCCAAAATTGGGAAGTGAATTGTACTCCTCGGTCCGAAATTATTCGTCGGGGTACCCCATGTAATCGATAGATATGGGTCACAAAGAGTTTTGCTAGACGTCTTGCGGACGGTAAACCTTTGCAGAGAATAAAATGTGCATATAACAGTATTCCGGTGACTGGTTGGTAAATCCACTATAAGTGGAAGGGGATATAAGTTCTCTACACAGACTCCATTTAAACCCCTGAAGTCCACACACAATCGTAAATCCCCATCTTTTTTCTCTTTAAACAAGACAGGGGCTGCAACCCGTGACCTAGCAGGTTGGATAAAACCCCTTGCTAAATTCTTGTCAATATATCTCCTTAATTCTGCCATTTCATTTTGAGTCATTGCATACATGTGAGGCTTCGGGAGGGTTGCCCGTTTCTATATCAATGGCGCAATCAGTTGAACGGTATGGTGGCAGTATGTCACATTCCTGTTCACTGAAGACATCAGCCAGGTCAATATATTCCAAAGGAAACTCAACCTTTCCCTCGTTACTGGGAACCTGTATCCTGGTCATTTCTTCTCCTCTTTTCACCTGTTCATGGTGAGGTGGTTGAGGGCCAATACCAATCCGTACTCTACGACACCCTCTTTTCCACCAAATAGTCGGACCCCACTTGTCTAACCAAGCTAAGCCTAATATTACATCTTCTGTCATGGACAGGACTACGATAAATCTTAATATTTCCCAATGTTCTCCTAATTCCAATCGCACAGGTTCAGTGATAAAAGTAGCAGGTAATCCACCTAATAAGGATCGATCCACTTGTTCAAACCGTACCGGTGTTTGTAATGACCTTACTCTAATACCTATATGACGTACTAACCATTCACTAATGAGACACCTAGTACACCCGGTATCAAGCAGTGCATTACACTGTGCCCATTTTCCTGAATATGTACTGATGATTGTAATAGGGAGGTTAAATGGACGAATGGGTTCGCTTACCATGGGATCTTCTGGTGTCTTTATATCCTCATGGTATATAGTTAATGGGGGTTCCATTCCACTGATTCCTTCATCGATAGCTAATCTCTCCCTTCAGGGTTTTGGGTTATCGACACGTTGTTGTGCAGCCCTCGATCTTTCAGGGAATTTCCTGGGTGATTTCTTTTCCACCACGTCTATCCCTCCTTTAGGAAGCGGTTCCCTGCACTCTGCAGCACGATGACCTGGCAGGTTGCATCGGAAACAACGAAATGTTGCACGAGATGATCCGTCAGGTGAGCCGGATATTGGACCTAATGGCCGGACCTGTCCTGAGTTTCTACGGAAACCTAGTTGATTATCATTTTTAGGACGGAACTCCTGCAGGCCCGTATCTAAGTCCATGACTACTCTAAACCACTCTTGCAATCTTCCCGGAATACCCCGATATACACATGCTTGTCTTAACTCTCTGTCTAGACCTGCTTGGAATTGTGTATCAATAATCTCTCAGGCCAAGTCCATAATTTACTCACTACTCTTCGAAATTCTCATACTCTGCAACTGGCCGGCCCCGTTGTTTGATATTGAGAACCTCTCCTTCTGTCCTCCAGATTCTAGACAAATCCTCAAAACAGGTTCGAAGGGCTCCCAGAAATGCTCCAACACTTGCTAACTCACGGGCATGATCAGTATGTAGGTCGGCTATCCACTCTAAAGCCATTCCCTGTAGGGCTGCTGTTACTGCTCCTACCATGGCCCATTGAGAAGGGTAAAGGTGGCCATATCTATCCATATGCCCAATTGTTTGACTCAAAAGGGTTAGTTTATCAGGATTTCCATCAAAAGTTACATTCAGTGGTGGAGGACCCCAAACAGACCCCTGTGGCCATTGTCCGGGACCCCACCCCGTTGTGTATGAAGGACCTGTTGAAGCTCCTGCTCCAGATGTAATTGAGTCTGGCCCTCTTGAGAATGGGGCCCCAGGGGCTGATCTCAATCCTTGAGATGGAACCGTTGAGGACCCACCGGTCCCTCCCCGTGATTTATCCACAGTACGACTATTACCTTGTGTCCCCACCCTTCCCTGATATAGATCACTGCGTGTGGGTTCGGGTTTCAATTTTGGACTGGTTAACCTAAACCGACCTGAAGCTGTGTGAGTAGAGGAGGAACTATTTGTGACCATGATGGTGCTTCTGGTCCGGGCATCCATCTCTGCCATGAAGGCACATCCTGGTATCCCTCCTTCTCCAAATTGCTCTCGTAACAGGTCCATTACAGTTTGGCCAGGGGCTGTGGCATAACTCCAGTCCTCCTCCTCCTCATCCATTGGACGTCGCTCCCGCCACTGGGTTATCATCCGACCATCTTCCGTTGGTCCAACTCCACATCCCTCTGCCATACCTGTTACTACAGGACTTTGCAACCACTCTCCGGCCAGGGTATGGGCTCCTGATATTATTCCTTGGGGTCCTTGTACCTCAATGGAAAGGTTAGGTAGGCATGCTTCCCTCACCTTAGGACGTACCACCGGTTGTTCAGTAATAGGAGCCTCCAGTCCTTCTTCCCTTTCCTGTACTGTTTCTTGGTCAGGTTCAACAGGGATAACATCCTGTACACCTTCTGCCATCCTGTAATAAGTCAACCTATGCCAGCAACCCACCAAGGGGATTCAAACTCAGGCTAGATGTAGGAAATGCAAGTATCCAGACTCACAAAGGGAGAGCCCTCCTAAACCCACGAAAAGAGAGGGGGGAACACAACACAAAGGGAACAGAAGGTTTTAGGGTTTTGGGAGCGCAAACTTTCCTGTCAGCCTCCCTACCGGACTCCACACGAAGAATGCACTGATGAGATTTCTGGGTGAAAACAGCTCCGGCTTACTTCAAGGAAAGGCAATGATGTTTAACACAGACAAGCGTTGCACCAGCTCTGTGCTATACAAAGTTTGCACTGGGAGCAACTGCCTCCCAGCGTTAGTTAAATACACTTACGTTTTCACTCCACCCTATGCAATTATGGACCACACCTTCACCACACCCGTGCTCATTAACCTCCACCTGCACCACACCCGAATCATCCACGTCTCCCTACCACACCCAACGTCTCCACCCTCCTGGCCTCCAATCAGTGTTTCAAAACATTCTTGTTGAATCAATCCTCCTTAGTACGCCTTGCGCTAGCAAAGCAATCCGTGGGTCGCCGCCTATCAGCTGATTTCAAATCCATTGCTGATCAGCTGTTCGGCGGGTTTGAGGTGGCTCTGCGCATGCGTAACAGTCCTTCTGCGTATGTCAGTTCCTGCTCCTTAGAACTGTCGATGCTCTGTATTATCGTCGGAGACTCCACACTCATGTACTCCGTGGAAATGCCGTGCTGCTGTACACTCTTCCTTCTCGATTCATAGGTCAGTTCCCCCCCTGTCTTATGTGTCAAGCCCAGGAGGGCTTGACAGTGGATTATAAAATTTTTACTTCAATAATGGCAGAGAGATTGAAAAAATACTTAGTTAAATTTATACATCCAAATCAAAACGGCTTTTTACCGAAGAGACAAATTAAAAACAATTTAAGGGTGATAATGGACATATTAGAATACTATGAATTACATCCAGGGAAACAACTAGCATTAGTGTTTTTAGATGCCCAAAAGGCGTTTGATAATGTTTCCTGGCAATTTATGGTTCAGCAATTGCAAATAATGGATTTTGGAAAAAATTTTACAAATATGATAAAAACAATATATAGCAATCAGACAGCAAAGTGATAGTGAACGGAGATTATACTGAGAGCTTTGAGATAAGAAAAGTGTTCTGGCCCATATAGCTCTATGGCCCATATAGCTCTATGGCCCAGCTCTATGTTGGAAGGTCTGGCAGTTATTGGGTTAAATGCTAGGTATGTGGATGGGTCAGTGGGAGGAGTTCCAAAGGTCTTTGGGAGACTTCCTGGACACAAGCCACATGGGAATCTCTTTGTCTGTAAGAAGCATGGGCCATGGAAGGTCTCCCTATAAGCATAAAGATGGTATAAAGAGCAATATCTTCTTACCTAAAGGAAAGATCTAAAAGATGAACAAACATGTATTTCCAGCAGCACCAATCTCAACGTGAACGCAAGTAATCTTTCTCATTAAAATATATTTGTTTATTATAAGATCGTTTCTTTTGAGTTAACTATCTGACAGGATTTAAAAGAGATCATTTTAAGTTTGTGTCAGAATAGTAAGAATATATACTCATAATTTGTGCCATCTTTTGAAAGCAAATAGTAAATTGGCAAAGATTAATTCTCCCCTCAAAGCTGCAACAGTTTGAAGAAAGAGAATCAAATTGGTTAGCACTTTCTCTGCATAAACCTTCAAGGAAGAAGATTCTCTTGATGCTTCTAAAAGCCTGCAAAGCAAAGCCAGCATGTCTGTGTAAAAGACAGCTTTCAAGGGGTGATTCAGAAGTTTTGTTATGCTAATTCGCTTGCTAGCTAACCTTCAAAGTGAAAAGTGCCTTGTATCTGATTCAAAATTACTTTGGACCTATTCTCAAATTAATGTTTATAGCGGGGAGAAAAGAAAAACAAAAATCTACACTTTTGTTCCTTGCATGAAAAGTTTGAATTTTAACACCAAAAGGAGCTTGGGCTTTTCCCCCTCCCCTCTTTGCCAGTGAATCACGCAGCCTGAAACAAAGAACTGTTTAATGACTGCCTCTAAAGTTCAGACAAAAGCAAGGTTTATTGCCTTTCAATAAACTCATCTGTTGCCATAGTGACAGCCCTAGGTATGCTCGGAATTTCAGCCAATGTTATAAGGAGGAATCATCGCAGAAGCACCCCCTGGTGGTCAGCAATTTTTTTTTCTAGCTGAGTCACAACAGCCACAATTAATTCAGCACACAACAGAGCAAATCTGTTAGTTAAAGTGCAAGCTACTTAAAGTTATCCCAAGCTACCAACACCCCCCAGAGGGCACAGAGTGATCTTACCAGAAGCATTCACTCACTCACCCAAGCTGAGCACTAAGCTGCTCCAGCTTGAAAGAACGTAGGCAGAAGAAATCAAAGCCAAGTCTCTTCGCTCATTATCACAGCTGATGACCCGGAGTTCCAGCCTGCAACTGACCAGGTGGGACTTTGTACCTCTACATTCTCTCAGTGGCTCACTAGCAGTAACGTGGTAATAGGAAGAATTTGGCTAGCCTTTTCAACACCCCCTAGAGGGCACAGAGTGAACTTACCAAAAGTACTCACTCACTCACTCAAGCTGAAGGCTAAGCTGTTCCAGCTTGAGAGACAGGAAGCAAGAGCCAATTGCCTTCGCCTATTATCACAGCTGATGACCCGGAGTTCCAGCCTGCAACTGACCAGGTGGGAGTTTGTACCTCTACATTGTCTCAGTGGCTCACTAGCAGTAACGTGGTAATAGGAAGAATTTGGCTAGCCTTTCTCCAGACGCCCCCTAGTGGTTAAAGGAAGCTCTACACGCAAGCCTTTAACTGCACCCAGAGAAGCCCATCTAGTGGACAAAGGGTGAACCTCGAAGCCAGAGCACCCTGGTAGCTGACCCACAGCAAGTAACCCCTAGTGGTGAAGGGGTGAACTGCACTGAAGTACCCACAAACACAGGAGAACGCACCCAGTAGCATCTCCACCCACAGACAGCACCTCAGAAGCTGATCTACAAGTAGAGACCCCTAGTGGTCAAAGAGAGAAGTTCTTCAAATTCTCTTCAAAATAGCTGAGAAGGACACGGAACCTACCCTAACCATGGAGGAGTGTCTTATTGATTTGGACAAAGGGGCTCAATTAACCAGCCTAGTTGAAACATCCCAACCAGTCAGTCAAGGAGAGATGCTGCAAACAGCCAACCTTGACCAGTACGCAGAGGCTGAAACTCAAGCCTCAACAAAGCCCAAAATGTCTCAGGGTCAATACGATCTTACACAATGCAGAAAGCTCACAGAAGCCATGCACTCACATCTGATGGAGAAATGGCACACCATCCACAGGCGCCATGAAAGAAGCTGGGAGAGATTATACAAACTCTACCACGAACAGAAGGAGGAACTCTCCCCAGAATGGGCACACGCAGTGGAAGGAGATAAGGAAGCCGCCTATGTGCAATGGATGGACTCTGAACAGCAACTCAAGGACATTCAAGAACAATTAAGAGAACCAAGTGTCGACAGCGAGATGCAAAGCCTCAAGCTAATAAACGAGGAACGCAAGAAGTTTCTAGAAAGCTCACAGGGTTCCCCACAGCCCGAGCCTCACCAAAGAGGCAGTCCAGTTGACAGAGCCAAGTCCAAAGTTTCATGCTTTTCACATGCACCATCCCAACGATCGTACGCAGATCCATCTCAGGTATCTGGAAAGGCCTCATCTTTCCGCCACATGTCCGGGGCACACTCTAGCGTATCCCAACAATCACTTGTCACAGGCGCCTCCCGCCTTTCGAAGGCATCCTCCTGCCGCAGCCGAACATCCAGAATTTCACAGGAAGAGCAAATAATCTTAGATGCTAAAGCCGCTGAAGCTGTCTTTCGTGTGGCACAAGAGGAGAGGCAGAAAAAGAAGGAGTTGTCGGCCATAGAACTTGAGGAAGCTGAAATAGAGGCCAAGCTACAAGCCGAAGCAGCCCAAATGCAAGCCAAAGCAGCCCAAATGCAAGCCGAAGCAGCCCAAATGGAAGCCAAACAAAAGGCTATAGCAGCCAAAATGAAGGCCAAAAGAAAGGATGCCCAAGAAGAACTTGAACTTACTCAATGCCAAAGAGTTATGGCAGACAAAATAGCTAGAGCGGAAGGCCTTCAGAGAATACTCCAGTACACCACTTTCTTGCCAGACAGACAACAACTGGAAAACGAAGAGCGTCGTAGCCGCGTACAGACCTATGTGGACATCCAAAGCGCATTCCAGAACGCACAGATGAGAGCACCACAGCCAGCCACGAGCCCCCCAAGACCGAGTAGACGAACAGAGGAATCTCAATGACCTGATTCGCTGGTCAACTGCAGAGTTGATGTCACGACACCTAGGCCACGAGATCCTCCCGCCGTTGTTGCCACATCAAACCTGATGGGATTACCACCAATGGCAATGACTGCACAGCGGGGAGGGCCACAAGATATTTCCACCATTATTACCCCAGCAAAGGCGACAATTGCACAGCGGGGAGTGCCCCAAGATCTTCCCACCGTTATTACCCCACAGAACCCACCAAACCATACTACTAATGGCAATCGGATGGATCCACCTATAGCGCCAACAGCCCTACAGCAGCACCAGCCGTCGCTCAGGGAAGAGATTGAAAGAGTTAGAGCCACACTAGAGTCACTAGAGTCCCTGCTGCACCAACAGGAGGAAGTGCCCCAAGGAACTGCCACCACTCCTGACTACAGAGGACAGCCTCGAGCATCAGCTCTGACAGCCTACCAGGAAGCTAGCTACACTCTACCAGAAACACAGACCTTCCAACACGTAAGCAAGCAAGAGCCTGGGCTCCCTCAGCTCAATGCCAGAGCAGCAGAGTTCAGACCAAGCCAACAAGGTCCCTTGCACGTGACATGGCAAAATACACCCAGCCACCAATACGCCAAAGGAAGTTACCAGCCAAACATGGCACACTCCCCCACTCCTGGAAGCGAGGTACCATCGCCACCCGGTTACATCCCTATGAGACTTTACAGAAGCAAACTAGATCTGGCATCCAAGGGTGTACACAAATTCCCCGATAAACCGGGAAAGGACTACGTATTGTGGAAGCTCATGTTCCAAACCGCCATCCAAGATGAAGCTATAACATCGAGCGAAGCGCTCGGACACATGAAAACATGGCTGGGACCGGCTTCCACACGATTAGTAGAGAACACTCAACTAGCCCACCTAGGCAACCCAACTACCGCCCTTCTCAAAGCTTGGGAAAGGCTCGACGAGCGGTATGGCGGACATGAACTGACAGAAAAGTCGCTCTTAGATTGCATTTACACCTTCCCTAACATCAATATCAATGATCACACCCAGATGTTAGAATTCGCAGACACGCTCTCGATGCTACATTCAGTTCGCGAGCAACCCAACATGCCGAAACCTACCTGCCTCGATCAGTTCGAGAAGCAAAGGATCATAGTTAGAAAACTACCAAAGCAGTCAAGGGATGAATGGGCCAAAATATCAGAAACCCACAGGAACCAAGACCCTGACGCACCACCTGCCTTCGCTGTACTCGTTGAATTTGTGACCGACCAAGCAAAACTACGTCATAATGCCAGCAACTTTGAGCCAACAAATGACAACTTCAGCCCCAACCAAAGTTCTTCCCAAGCTACGGACAGAACCACACCTTTGGTGTATAAAACAGACATCACGCCTTCCCCAAAGAAGTCTCCAGACGAACAAACACCGAGAAGCGCTCTTTCGAACCCTCATCCAACTACCAAAGGCCTAACTTGCCCGATACACAAGTTCTCTCACTCTCTAAATGATTGCAGAGAATTTAGGAAGAAATCCCTAGATGACCGAAAGACCCTACTCAAAGAGAATAGGATATGTTTCAAATGCTGTGACTCTATGGATCACATGGCCAAGGACTGCACAGCTAATGTGAAATGCCACCTGTGCAACAGCGACAGGCACCCAGCAGCCTTACACCTAGAACCTAAGATGCTGCCTAAGGAATCACGACAAGCAACTAGCTCTACACCAGACTAATCACTGACCGAGTCCTGTTGCTAAGGAAGACCAGCTTAGACAATTGAACCTCTTCAGTTCCAGCTGTTCCTGACCCTTCTGTCCCAGCTGTTGTTCC